TGTATTTTGGGTCAAAACACGACGACGACGACGACGACGACGACGACGACAACAACAACAACAACAACAACAAAAACAACAACAACAGCCACAACGAACGCGGCAGAGACAGACAGTCTGGGTTCACGTAGACTCACCCTGTTTAATATCCGGAAAGTGGAAACCTGTGACAGCTGCAGAAGTTCCATTGAGCAAAGACACAACAAGGAAGAGTGACAGAGCCAGTCTGGTGCTGCTCGAGGCGCTGCTGGTGCTGGTTGTTGTTGTTGTTGTAGTGGTGGAGGTGGTAGCACTCGCAGTGCTGTCGGGAGTCCCTGCACTCCTACACACTAGGCAGCTAGAGTCTTTCACCATGACGTCACCAGCACACACGAGTTGGCGTGAGCACTGAGAAGCCGAAGGGTCAACGGTTTCGTTGTGAGCAATAAAAGAAATGTCGTCATCAATACCCGTGCACTCCGACTGGTGACGATGACAGCAGTGGCGAAGACGTGAGTCACTAGTATCTTCAGTGGAAATAGACAAAGAACGACGATTAGAATGACGATGAGCGCAAGGTGAGTCCGCGAGCTCTTCCCGTTGCCTGCAGGAGGCAAGGGTTGGAAGACCGTCAAGGCCCGAGAGCCACATGTTTCTGTATTCTGTCCCCAACTCCGACGACCTTCGCCTTGCTATGTGCGTAACACAAAGCGCGGTGAAAAACGTTATGCCAAGTCCACTACTGCGCTGCGCCTGTGAATGGACTGAACCACCTTAGCGCGGGCCGCTCGGGTCCTCAATGGTTCGGCGAAGTCGATCTATGAATGAATCTGCTTTCTCTCGTAAACTGCTGCGGACCGCGGGGAAACTGGAATGGAAATTAGGAAAGGGGATTATAGCGGTGTCTTGTGTGACGGTGGGGGGAGTAGGCAATTTCTGCTTTGAAATTGTAAATGCTTGATTGAGCGTAATCCCTGTCGGCGGACTGGATGACAATGCATGCTGCTTATTGCTTGGACCAACAAGAGAATGCCAGGGAGGAATCTATTCGTAAATACACACATATAATATATACACACTTGCGTCCGCATGTACGTAGCGCGTGTACACGCTCAAATAAAAACACAATATACGAGACACGCATATACACACAAGTACACACACATATATAGATCTACAGGCATTTTAATATCACTTAAATTACATTCACAAGGAGAGAACAATTCTTTTTCCGTTTTCTCCATCATCATTGCCACGTTGTAAAATAAAGGACGTAATGGACATTTGTTTCACATTTTGATAATCCTTTGTAAATAGGGGTAACAATTAATTCGTTTGCTCGAGGAGAGTCGATAGCATTATGATGGCAATTGGTTGCAAAATTAAATATGCACTGGAGTTCGCTTAAACCGAAATCTGGGACCGGTATTTTTCTTCGGTTTAGCCGGGGTTTAGGTTTAAAGAGGTTGCTATAACAGAAGGGAAAAATCGATTTTCTTTTGGATAACTGTTAATTTAAATTAGCTGCGTTCGATTTGAACGAACTCCACTGTATTTGCCACTTATTTTTTTCTGCTGGCAGAAGTCAACTATATTTGTTTTGTTTGTTTGAGCAAAGAGAAGCACATCTACACAATAATAGTCATCCAGTTCTTGGGAAAAGTGAGACAAACAGACAGAAACAATAGAGTATGAAGTAAAGAAGTAGGACCTACCAGGGGCGCCCTCCAACCACCCTCGTCAACTATACTGTAATTGCATAGCTGGCGAGAGGGGACAGTAAATAAAGAAATGTGAACCATGTCACAAACAAGAAGAAATCAAGACCCGTCCAGCCCACCTTCAACAAATTCAGACAAGACTGTCCACAAAGGCCATACATACCCGCTACGCAAACTCTGCAAACCGGTACAAGGGTCTAGGCTACCCTACATTGCATTATGTGAATAATGGCAGAGTTCCTTGTGCCACCCTAGCAATAGAAAATCGCTTTGAACTGAAAGACGCTGTCAGAGATGGAACAAAAAAAATCACTGCAACTTTGATGGTCGGCGCCTTCTCTACTCAGCTTAGACGACTTTCCTCCGAACTTGAATGCGTCTCATGTCTCTCTCCCTCTTTTATACTACATACCAGTCAAGTTTTTAACTTCCGCTTTTTTATCCTTCTGATACCCAAACAAGCCTTTAGACAAATATATAGGTAAACACATGAGAGAAGAAGATAATATGTGTTATGTGTGTATGTTTGTGTATGTGTGTTTATGTGGGTATGTTTGTATATGTGTTTATGTTTGTATAATGTGTGTATGTTTGTATGTGCATGTGTCTATGTTTGTGTGTGTGTGTGCATGTGTATGTGTGTGTGTGTGTGTGTTTGTATGTGCATGTTCAAGCTAAAACACACGCAAACAAGCTAGTTGACATCATCATTCTTCAGGTTGCAGGTAGCTAACCGTGCATCTTAAAATGTCTTTAAGGCCCTGATCTGTACTTTATAAGAAGCCCGGAACACGAAGACGAGAGAAAAAAATAAAAAGGGACAAACAACCTGTGGAAAGAAAGGGTGAAAGGAACCACTCAGACGCGAGGGAGGTAGTGGGTGTAAAAGAAAATGGAGGCTTTGAAGGGGCTGTTGTTATTAGACATACAAAGATTTGTGTTGCACGCTGTGCGGATGGAACCACTTTGCTCTGCAACACGTTACATGGTGTATTGAAGGGTTGATTCCGCCCCCATACGGGCGATTAGGGAAAGGTAGACTCTCTATTTCCCTGACTTGGTATAATATAACGGTTTACAATATGTATTTGCTTAAATGGGGAAGGGGTATTTACAAGGGGGGTGGGTGAGCGAGACTTTTCTTTCAAAACTTCTGCGTCAAATTGAATGTTTTGATGTTCAGTGTCATTCTCTCTCTCCTTTTCACAAAGTCACTAGATGAATATAACCGCCCAGTGGGACGGCATGGAAGTGTAGAAAAGAGTTGGAGAGAGGGGGAGAGAGGGCGAGATTGGGGTAAAAGGAGTAGGGGGTAGACGGACAGATAGACAGAAAAAGGAAAAGAGAAAGAGGAGAGAGGAAAAACATGATTACGAAGAAAATTTTCCTTACCAGGCAAGCCAGCATTGTATTGGCTCCAGTGCCAGTAGTGTATTGTATCTGCGACAGTATGGGTTCTGTCAAAGAAGAAACCTTCCAAGTTCCACAACAAGTCGAGCTCTTGGGTCAGCTTTTGTCAATGTGTAGATGTAACTCTGAGTTCCAGCTTGTGCCTCAACTACACCACTGGTAGTCTTTGGGCCACTGTTCATCCACCTATGAGACTGGAGACAGAAACAAAGGAACAGATGTAACATTGATAACAACCTGAAGCACGTAATACAGGGTCTGCAAATCAAATTGGCATGATGGACACATTCTGACAGACAGACAGACAGACAGACAGACAGACAGACAGACAGGCAGGCAGGCAAGCAGACAGATAGGCAGGAAGGCAAGCAAACAGACTGGTATATGACTGGATAGATAAAGAGGAGGAATAGAGGGGCGTGCACACCAAAAGCTAGGACTGGATAGCGATCTGTTCTTGAAAGCGTGCGATCATCTTAGAATCAGATTTGAAACAAAGGCACAAATTAAGATTCGATCCAGTTTTGTGACAGTTTACAGTACGGGTGACAATTTATGTGAGTCCCCACTACTGGTTCCGAAACAAATCTGACACGAGCAAACAAGAAAGTCATTGTGCGCATGCAAATAAACGGATCTCTGCCATCCGCTTGATATTTGGATAGAACTGAACGGTGAGCAGCTCATGAACAGAACACGAACGTATGAGAAACGTCAGGCACACGTGCGTCCACACACGAGTATTTGTTTTCGTTCTCAATGAAGTTTGTACACAGTTGGATTCACAGTTGGTCATTTTTAGGTGAACATTTTGTTTCCAATCGGTACAAAAACATGGCTTTGCATGACAAATGTCCCCAGATGGACCTTTAAAAAAAATTACGCCCTTCTCAGACTTTAACTTGTACCACTTCAGAGCGCAGGTAGAAGTAGTTTGCACCCAGGTGTAAAATGCTACATATACGATAAGACACATGAACTCGACAAAGCCAAAAGTAATCCATCCCTTAATTCCTTTGAAGCGCCCACGAAAGGCCCCGACAATAGAGATGAAAGCTGTATAACGTATCCTATTTGTTCTCAAACACAGTTACATATCAAGATCAACAAACGAGCGTTAGAAGACCCCATGGCCCTGAAACTGAATACAGGCACATAATCTGCAGAGCTCTTGAACACAGGAAATGCGCCCTCGGTACATTTTGATGGCACAGAACAAAGGGTTATATTGGGACAAAGCAATAATAACTCATTTCACGTTACGATTAATTGAAAATGTCGACCGCTTTGAAAAACGAGAATAGTGTCAAAAGAACATAGAATCGTAAGAAGTTGTTGGGTTGTTTTATTTTACAATGAATGACTCTCTCTCTCTCTCTCTCTCTCTCTCTCTCTCTCTCTC